AAACACAGATTTTGATTTTAGCCATGCGGACTTCTCGTAAAACTGAATAATCCTACGCCTTCCCCACAGAGACATTCTTCTGTTGTTTTAATCTGGGTGGCGCAGAGAGCACGGGGGCTTCAGCACCAAATTTCCAATTCCTGTCCTCTAAATGCGGCATCGAATTAGAGCTTTATCGGCATGAACACAAGCCTTCCCTAAGGTTTAATTTGGGACGCCCGCATTTCTGGCAAAATCATGCAAAAACCCATGCATTCCAACACTTGGGGTTTAGGGCTTGCCTTGTTTTAGGGTTTAGCATGAGGGGCGGTAGGTAGACTATATGATTTTAGGTAACCTTTTGCCCATGTTTGCCATTGTTTAGCAAGCAGAGTAGCCGGGTGGTAACTTGGCCTCCAGGTAAATTTCAAAGCAACCGACCAGGCAGGCACCACACTGGGGATGCTTTTGGACGTCGCCAACCTTTACGACGTGGGGCACTGGCCTCCTTGCAGATTATCTTGCTTGAGTTTTTGGAGTTTGCGGTTTCAATGTTGGAGTGTCGGAATCTGAGGTGAAGACGGCCGAGGGCTTTGGGGGTTAGCTATACCAGTTTCAAGGTTTACGTGCTAGGTTTCAGGGCTATTTGAGGGGTTTGGAGGTTTGAGTGTTGAATTCTAGGAGTTGTTTGGCTGTGCGATTTTGTATGTTTAGATTTAGGATTTGAGGTCCGGTTGTTTCAGGAACGGAGGGTCCCTCTCGGAAATTGCTCAGAACACTGACCCTTTATGGCCCTGTCCTGCCAGGATCGGCAGGAGGGTACGCAGGGACCTTGTCGTCCAGATGCTGTCTATCCCAAACATTCAACCCTTAAAGCAGTCAAAAAAATATGGGACACTTTAGTAGAGAAGCCCATCTTGGGGTAAGAGTAGAGCAGACGTCGCTACGCAATTGCCTCCCTTGCTGAAATCAAGACCCCAGCACTCAGCTGAGAAAGATGAAAATAATTCAGGCGATTATTCTGCAGGGTTTTGCAGAAGGATTCCCTCATACTACTGCAACCCAGCAAGTCCATCCGAGGTTTTGTGTTGCTGCATATTTCTCCCTCGTCCCATGCCGCTGGGCATAGGCTCGAGAGTTGCTAGCGTGGCCCAGACCTTCCCTAACCCTAACCCCTTCAATCAGGGAATGCTCCTAAAGTTTAGGGTTTAGAGTCCCCCTTAAGTAGATAGATATAGCTTTGGGTATATTATAATAAGATCCCCATATATCCCCAAATTGTATCTACCTAAGGGGGACTATAGGGTTGGGAAGCTGGATGGGACTTGAGGAGATCTCCACCATTGCACCATAGATTATAATCCAAGTCCGATGCAGATCAGGATTTCTGCTGGGTGGCGACAGTAGCAACCCTTATTTGGAAAATCCCAAAGGCCTAACAGGCCAGGCTTCTGCATCAGTGGCTACCCAATACAAGGCCTGTAAAGAGCGCAGACGTATGCCCGGAGCCCTACCTGCAATCCAACTTAGTTCTAGCTTAGCGGTTTAGGGGCTTAGACAAATTTAATAACTAAACGGTTGGAATTACATGTAAGCCCCGGAATTGCAAAGCTCCGTGGTTGTTGCAGGCTGCGCCGAGATTCAAAGGTTTTCCTGGCGCAAGTGACTGTTGTGACCCGTGTCTCTGGCTGCGTACCTTCTATGCCCTGACATGCGCAAGGTGATTCTTGTGCTGGTGAGCCCCAGACACTGCTGCAAGCTAGACCCCGAATTAGACAGACACCCCCTTTCTGGTTTGCGGCGGGATACTACTATACGCAGGACGGATTAAGTAGATACTAAAATCATCATCTAGGCTTGGTTTCTACACAGCCTCGAAGGGCACGGCATAGACTGAACCAAGAAAGAGCGAAGGTTGACAAAAGAGAGCGCTGCTCCGCCTATGAACGGATACACCGCCTCAGGACGAGACTTTAACACTTGCCCTGGAATGAAGGCTCCTCCTCAAGGACCCAAAGCAGCCATACATGTGATATGTAGCCAGAGACGAGGTGGATAAGAGTGCACTATGCCACGGCTGTGGCACGGGGAAGTCAGTCTCCGAACCGCAACATCTAGACCGCAAAGGCGTTTGTGTGAGACAGGAGCTTTAGGGTTTAAATGTGTAATGGTTTAGGGATGCGTCTCATACTGTACCTTTGGAGACAGCTGCAAGGTCCATACTGGCCAGATGATAGGTGGCCTGCTGAACGCCACCTTTGGCAATGCCGCCTTAACCTCAGCGTGGACCTTCTTTAGTACGGGTGGTTGTCAGAACGATCCCCACATGTCGTTTGAGCAAAAACAGTGGCGCGGTCTAGTTCTGGAAAAGAGGTTGCAAATTTGCGATTTTGACTCCGCGGGGCGGAAACGGGTCTCATGACTTGAGGTTCAAGCTTGCGGGCATCAAGAGGGAGACATAAGTTTACTGGTGGTGGGACATCATCCCTTTATAATATAGTCCCTTACTCCCTACTTACCACGGGACAAGACTGAGAAGGGGGCACAAGAGCAGGGTCAAGGGCGGACAAGGGACAGCAAAAAGACACCAGGCGGCTACTAAGAGAAGGCAAAGGGCAAGCCGGATATGGGGAACAAGAGGGAGGACAACCGAGACCGAAGGGGAATATCAACAGGAGGACAAGGACCAACAACCTGACAACGGAAGGACAGGCGCTAAACAGGGAGGACCTTGCAAGAAACACGGACAAGAGCAGAACAAGACATGGGAGAAGAGGGGACGGCTGCAAGGAAAACGTCCGCGGAGTTTGCAGACTTCTTGATACAACACATGTGCTTTGCAGCATCGTCGGCAAGGATTACTAAAGGTTCATGCTGCCAACGAGTGGTTGCGATTCCTTCTGCAAAACAGGCTAGCAGTTGAGCCATGGCAAGGTACTTACTCTCGCTTGTACCCATGAACCCTAAATTAGGCGCTACACCCCGGACCCTAGTGTAATGAAGAAGCGTGAATGCTTAGCAGTACTCTTCCATTGTAGCCCGTTTGTACGTAGACTATAACATATACCCCAAAGCCTGCTTCTTATTAGTTGGGCCGCTACATCAGGCTAAAGCAAGACTGTGGTCTCATTTGGGGGGCTCTACTGGCCACATTATGCTGAGCAGCGTCCCCTGTATGAGTTCTGCATTATATACATACAGTAGTCCTTACATACCTCCCAGTCTCCCCATTATTCCATTGCGTAGGGCCTGGTGTCAGAGCACCCACCTCCCTACCCGCTGCACCTTAAGCACCAGAAAAAATAGTCTTTTCAGATGATGGCCGGGGCCGCCCCAAAGCCGAACCCCTAAGCCTTCAAACCCTGTAAGGTTGAGATGATTGTGACAGTGAATGCCATCAAGGCTGGATAGACTGACTCAGCTGCCGCGCTTCCTTGAAGACCTTGAGACTTTTTTGTGGAAAATCTTGTACATTATCATGTCGACTTCACATAAACCCCCGTGGACTTTTGGGGGCCTCCATTTTTTCTTACTTTTTGGGCTTCAGGGAGGCTTCGAGGCTTACTGTAAAGAAATGGGAGTATCCAAAAACGAAGGACCGACACGCGGGCCACCTCTGGGGGTATCCAGAGTAAGTAAGTACTATAGTCTTTTGGGATCTGTATTAGGGCCCCCCTCTTCATTGGAGACTCCTTATTATAGGGGACTATCATAGGGCCGGGCTATTAGGGGGATACTAGGAGTTTAGACTTCAGTTCATTTGGCATGTCATGCGGAGCTTTGTTTGTAAATCTCCCTCCTCTTGTGGCGAGCGGCCCAGCCTTGTACATCCTTTTGCCATGCCATTTTACGTAGTTTTAAGGCTCAGGTTTTTAGCGTTTAGGGTTTCGAGTTTAGGGTTAGGGAATCATGCAACCCCGAAGAGGGCCCATTGTAGGGTACTGTCCTTCTCGACATGGCCTGGACGCGATATCCTACATAGAGCTCCAGGTTAGTTTTATTTCGCAGGGTTGTAGGTGCTGCACGACTGGGCGGTCTTTGCAGCTGGGCAACTACAGCCATGACTCGTCGTCTACCCCTTCGTGCCATATCCTAGGGCTCCCTTGGCTTTTGGGATAATGGAAACTACTATAATGGAGCATGCATCGAATAGGAAATAAAACGGAAAATGAAATGGAAACCCGGGGTATATAGGATAGTCATAATGTAGGGTGTAGAAGGTTTATTGGGTGATTTTTTGGAACAGCCAGCTGTTGCAGAAATGCTTAAGGAAAGGAGAGGTTATCACAATCACCAGATGGTGCTTATGTATCCCTTTGTGCACGGGGAAATCCGTTCGAGGACCACTTTTGCTGGTGCGGATTGCAACCTAGAACCCCTTGACATCAAGCGTGTGCTTCTTGAAGCAGCCCCTATTGTCCTCAAGTGCGAGCCCATATGATAGTTTTCAGAAATAGGTGGGCTCCAATATAAAAACCCGGATACTGTAGTCCTTATTCTTGTGACCCCCAAAAAAGGCATTCCTAATTTTGGGAAACCCCAGAATTCCCTCATGGTCCCCATCAAATCCTGGATGGCCAGAATCTTCTGCTCGCCAGAAATTTCTGCTCAAACCGTTGCGATCTGCTTTGGTGCAACTATAAAACTTGACTCTGATGGCCAGAAGTTCGAGGGCCGATTGCCCGCTTGAGAGGACAACACAATCGGCAGATGAGTTAAGGCTGAAGTTTTCGTAGTCTGGGCCTGCGACTTTGCATTCTGAGTTTCCGTCCGTGCCGAACTTTGGGAGACTAGAAAGGCATGCCATGCTGTTTTGCTAAACCCGTCCAAGGTTGTGCGGCACAGTGCGCAGATTTCTGCAATTATGAGCTCGCATATAGTTGCCCTCAGAGTTTTTCCTAACCGTGGGCTTTGCAGTCTGATCTCTATGTTAGGCCTTAAGCTTCCAAGGCCACATTTACAACAAGCGCACAGAACTGGAACTAGGGTTTCCATCGTCGAATCGTAGAGCCTTTGAAGACATGGCGGCTGCTACCCGTGCTTTCCAGCTGGGCGACAGGGTGACTGTCGCACAGACACAGCAACTCATTCTTGCCCAGGGTATGAGGGGTTTATGCGTCATAGGAGGCAAGGCAAGGGTTTGAGTGTAGTTCTCAGGGACAGGTAAACCCTATCGCAGACGTCGGCACGGGATTGTTCTTCTTGACGGCGACGGCTGCATATGTTTGCTGTGTCTTTCTTCATGTGCTGTGGCTGTTGATGGTGTTGGCGAATTCTATCCTGTGCTGTATACAGCCCATAACTGGCAGCCCTGCAGAACGGGCAGTCTTAGATTCGTCTGATATCCTTCGTCATACAACAAAATCAGAAATCATGTGCCTCTCCCATAGATCGATTCAAGCCGCACCCACGGGTGAATCCATGCTTGGGTCATCTGTAAGGGCCACCTACTGTTGGGCCCTTTTGTTGCTCCCTATCAAGTGCGGCGAGCGTGTGAGTTGAGGCCTGAGGTCATGTGACATAGTTCATGCCACGTGAAGGACCAGCAGAACCATCCAAACGGAGAGACCACAACGAATGGCCCGTACATAAATTATGGAACTCAGCAAGCACCCAGTTCCAACATCTTAGTTTCCCTGGAGAACTGGTGAGGATGTAGCGTAAGTAACCTCACAATTCATATAGGAGGCCTAGGTCTTGAATATGGATAATGTACAGAGTTTGACAAGAGGTTCAAGAGTGCTTAGGGAATTTAAGCCCGTCACAAACCTAGTACAATTCGACATTCTTGGTAAACACCCCCTCCAAAGAAGCGATTCTTGTTGTTTAAGCCGCTGCAGTATTTGGATCGTAAATGCTTGACTGAACGCATGTGATTGTGAAACTATGCCCTCTGCATAGCACCCAAAGGTAGCGTTCTGAGTTTACTCCCATCTTATTTTGCTTTTCCACTGGTCCAAGACGAGTCACAATTTTCTGAGAACCCTAAACACTAAACTCTTAATCCTAAACCCTAAACCCTGCCCAAGTCTTGGTTGCGAGGCTCTGTGGCACAGCCAAGTTCATTGGCACAACCGAGTTCGCCGCTGGCGTTTCTAGGCCGCAGGTTCTCGGGGGCTGGGAGTTGGTAGACTACCCTAAGCCCTACACCTGTAACTGTACTGTCCTTAGGAATTAGTTTTGATTTTTAATATAGTATAACCCCAGGGAAATATTCAACATAATATTTTATTATAGGTCTAAGGAGACTACAGACACCCCAGGCCTGCGTTCTTGTTCAACATGACTTAGGTTTTAGGGTTCAGAATTTAAGGTTAAGAGCTTAGTTACATCTTGTTCAATGCTAACTAACATAGGAATGGGCCTGTGAACCACAAGCCCGGATCTCTGAAGATTGATTGTGGGAACTAGTGTTAGTCATGAGGGTATTTGGTAGCCCAAGGCAACCCTTCTGAGAAACTGAGTATGTGCATTAGATGTTTTGGAGCCCTAGCTCGTGTCACATGAAGGGTTCCAGACACAGGGGGCCCAAATACAGACCCCAACCCCAATATACTGTAAGCTATAGGGATCCCGAGAGGACTCCGCGAGTGTCGGAAACAACAGTCCATCCGTGCAGTTCTAGGAAAGTGAAAACTCCGGGGCTGAATGAGGTTCCTCAAGGAAACCCCTTGCTAAGGCGCTCCTGCAGGCCCCACATCTCTTGTTGGAACAAGAACGCGGGGCACATGGAATCTAAACCTCCTGTGAAAGCTGTTTGAACATCCTCTTTGAACATCCTGTACAATCGCACGGGGGTCGATTTGTGTTGGGTACTAACGAACACTTTTATCTTACTTGGAATTCATAAACTACAGAATATATAATGTGTAGATGGAAAATGAAAACCGAAAACCTGAAAACCTGGTATTCTCGAGAGGCACATGCCAGAGGCTTTCAGTACAGTTTCCAAACCCCAAAAGAGGCCCTACACATGCTTGTGCCCACCATCTCGGGGAGCGTCTAAGCTAAACCTCGTCTTAGGAATGGATGGGCATTGAATTGGACGACAAGGCTTGCACAGATCCTGCTTACGAAGATTTCCACGACTTAGGACTTCTGTTGTTTTCTCCGCGGATGTGACTACCATGTATATGGGAACTGCTATGGGGATGCATTTCCCCCATGCCCAACTCAGCATGAGTAAGTGTTTAACATGGTAGTTGCATCAAGGACAGCATTAATCCCCTCCCCCTAATATTAAACCCTCCCCCCACCCCCCTAATACTTACTAGATACGCCCAACATACTAATATACAACAATGGGGAATATTGAATATTAAGGGGGTGAGGAGATTGATATTAGGGGGACACTAGACACTTTTGGACAAGGGAACGGGAATGGCCACATCATATGGTAGCTTCCGTGTTTTGAACTGGATGACTGCGGGCTTCGGAGCGTAGGGCTTTTGGAAGTTGACTTGGCGTTGGGGTGGATAGCTTCCATAATCGCACATTGATCCTCGAGCCAGCCCCTAGAGTGTGAGGGGTGAAGGAGTTTGTATTACGGCTTCATCATGTTCAGCAGAAAAGTGGCACAAGGCTGTTTGCATTCGCCTGTGTAAGGCAGTAGTGGAAGTAATAGTACAGTACAGATAAGAAAACGAAACATGAATCATCCCATTAGTCGTATCAATGGTGCTGAACAATGAAACTAGTAGATGAGTCTGTTGTTCGATGAGTCTGCAGAAGCTACACAGATTACTTTAGAGGCGCATACAAGGAAAGTTTCTTGAATTCTTTTTTTCGGGTCCGCTTGGTTGAGAAGAGAAGCCAGAGGGTTGTAGCTTGTATCTATGCCAGGCTGGCAAGAACAATGGCTGCGTCAAGGGCAAAGCTTACTTTGAATGCCGCCTGGCCTAGCCACATCTCATCCAGGTTGAGTCGGAAAATACCTACCGTTTCGCGCACGGTATTGTTTTTGTTTTATGGGTTGGCAGTTGGTGCAGCTCGCACGCTTGCACCTCACATCCCCCAAACGAATTTGCCCTGGACTCTTAGGCCTGACCCCGAGCCCGATCTCTACAGACCTCAAGCCTGAGCCCCTAAATGCTGGTGTAGTTTCATCCAGGAGACGGGACACTGAATACTCGCAGTTGCAGGTTCCCGCATAGAGTCATAGAGTTGGGTGTATTCGATGGATGCCATGTGAGCCTTAGGTTTGGCTTTCAAATTCAGGCGTTTAGGGTGTCGGTGAACATTGTAGTGTCCTGTGTAAGCCCATCAAGCTTGATTGCCTAGGCAGAGCCCGAAAGCTTCTTCTTCTTCTCGTGGCCCTGACACAATCTTGAACCCACAGCCTTAGGCCCAGACTGTACAGCATGATGTGATCGTGCTACAAAGCCTGAGGGTGCAGCACCATGCCCTCTCTCAACACTCCTTAAGTTTGACGGTCTCGGGTATGGGTGTAGGGGTTTAAGGTTTTTACACACCAAGGATTCAGGGATTCAAGGTTTTACCGCTTTTTGGGTGCAGATTCATGTCGGGGGCTGTTGTCAGCATGTCAAGGCGAAATGACTTGCAAACTCTGAACCACAAGACTTAAACCCCACACCTTAAGCACTCACCGGCCTAGTCCCCCAATCTCACAACCCGAAACCCTATTCCTCAAACCCTGAACCTACTAAATGAAAAGCATCGTTCCGCAAACCCTCAACATCCATAAGCCCTATTATTCCTAAGACCCTAAGCATTAAGTTCTGAAAGCAGGGCCTTCTATCCAAGGCAAGCCAGACCATGGGCTCTTTGTGAGGCCGACGGCCGTGACCAAAATCGGCCCATCCAGACGGAGGCCCTTGCGCAGTCTAGGGGATTTGGGGCTTGCGGTTTAGGGTTCGGGTATCTTGCACATGTATGTTTTAGGATGTGGGATTTTCTGTTTGGGGGTTAGGTCTTCCTACGTTCCGGTTTTAGGATTTAGCGTTTGGGGCCTGGGTTTGACGTGTAGGGGATTCAGGGATCAGTTTGATAGTATCAGAGTTTGCCGAGATCCTAGCACCAAGGCTCAGGGCCCATATGATGATTTTTGACATGGAGCTTTCCTTTCTGTCCCCAAAATAGATTTCTCATTTGTAAAAGCCCTAAACCCTAAACCTTACACCCAAAAACCTCTAAACCCTGAAATACAAGCAGGGACCCCAATCTCGAGGAGCGTCAGCCTTCAAACCTCAGAGCTTTGGGAGGTAACGCAAAGTACAAAAGACCCGAAACCCTTGACCCGCACCCTTTCAGGGCGCGGAGTTTATAGGTGTAAATCAAGGGCTGAAACATTAGATGTAGGTTCAAACCCAAGCCAAACCAGGGAAAGATCAACACATACAAACAAGGAGCTGCCCAAAATTTACGAGTGGTTAGTAGGGAGTGGAGGAATGGATCCGTGTAGTCGTTCCTACAGAATCTCCGAGAAGGTCCCGCATAAGCCAGTCCTTCACTCATTGTCATAACTGCCAGAGGGTTCAGGGTTTAGTAAGAAGGCCCGAAACCCGAAACCCTTCACTGTCCTGATGAGACTCTTGTTGGATTGCTTTGCTTTCTACTTCCGCCGTTCGAGTGTGGAAGCCTTGCAAATTTCAGTAGCCTCCATTTTCTTCTCCACCCAACCTGCACTCAGCAACGCATGCCCTACCACTGGCAAGAAAACTCTCCTACCCAAAACCCTAAACCCTCAAGTAGTTTCGACTCTTCGTTCCTTGCAAACGACCAGTATGTCTAACCAGTTAAAGCTATATAGGCCCAGATGCATCCCCGAGCTATTCTCTACCTCTACCATTCCCCACCTCTACCTCCAGGAACCTTTCCTTAGCTCTTCCCTACTCTATCCCTTTGATATTCCGTACTCGTCCCCCATACATCCCACTACACCACAAGCCCTCATTCCATAAACCCTAAACCTAAACCGTAAACCCTATATATCCCTACATAACCCCTTTGTAACCCTATACTAATCCTTATATATCCCTACATAACCCCTATATAACCCTAAACCCTAGAACAATCCCAAAGCAAAGGTCGGATTTCGTGCCTAGCGCCTCGATGCAGCCACCACGTGCTTCGATACCTGCAAGCCCTCCATCGCCGGCAAAGAGACTTGCTTCGGGTGTAGGTTTCAAGGCGGTTTAGGGTTTAAGGGTTTTTGGCTCTAGCGGTTAGGGGTTTATGGCATTGGGGTATATATAGACTGTTGTTGCCTGGGATTTTTTTAGCTTGAGGATTTCAGGGTTCAGGATTTGAGGTTCTGGTGCGCACCCTTCTCGGCATGCACAGAACTGCGCAGGCAGACTGGGCGCTTGCATATTTGGAACTTGCTGTGATTTGTTCAGGGGCAAACATGACTTATACCATAGGATCTTACACGTGTCGGTTCGGCGGTTCCTGTTCGCACTCTCCGGAGTAGGATGCGAAGCCGCGAAAGCAATCATTTCGGGAAAGGTGCGGGTCTGGGTGCCTGCTGAAGCATGGGAGCCCCACGACAAAGCTCTTGTTCAAGCTCACGCCATCCATCGCGTTGCCAGGTGCAACATCACGCGCAAGGTCGCCTGCTTCCGGTGGGCACTATAGCAAGCAACCCTCAGAGGTGCAAGGGCTGATGGGGAACAACACAGAATAAAGGGTGGCCAATGTATCAAGTGGCGCCAACTATGCAAAGCAGCTCTCGTAGCTGCGGGAAGTAGCAAGTGATGAGCCGCCTGTAGCAACAAGAGTTGAGCTGCACATATGAGCGTGAGCAGCGCGCAACACACGCCCATCTGCATCCCCGATGTAACGCCACGCATCTATAGACAGCTTTTCATGGAGAATCAAAGGGAAAGAGGATGGAAGATGAAATGGGAACTGGCATTGCAACGGTTTACAGGGATAACTGCTAATCTTATGGTTCTAGATTCATTGTACCTTTATACCATATGGTTCCTCAAGCAAATTTCGTCACCTCCCACTAATGGTAAAACCCACCACCCCCTGATATTAAATATTCCCATTGTGGTAAATCATGATCTATTGGGAATATCCCATATCAGGAAGGCAGAGTTGAAACTTTACGGGAAGGTGATTACATACATACCTCCAGAGAGAACCAAAGAGTATCTCAAATGAACTATCACCCTTAATGGGCCCCTGTATACAGTAATCCCCTCTATAATCCCTTACATATCCCCCTTTAAGGAGTCTAGCCCTAAACCCAAAACCCTACACCCTAACCCCAAAATTAAGTACTTCGAATGACACAATGATAACAATTGTAACAATAGTAATACTAGAGATAATAATAGTAAGAATAATGATTATAGATATACATACATATATATATATGTATGTATATTAGTAATGAATCTAGTCAAGCCCCTAGATCTGGTTAAACCTCTTGTGAGTTTCGTCGTCAGAGGAATCCATTCCTGGCGGCGCCGCAATCCCCCATCGCACCTGTGGCAAAGAAGTTGTGTAGGGATCTGCAGGGATCCGGTGGAGGATCAGATTTTAATGCCAGTTTAGGGTTTAGGGTTCCAGGTTTAAGGTCCTGGTGTTAAGGCAGAAGCTGCGGGGATAAGGCGCATCTTCAATCTGAAGTTCGTCTTCGTAGTCCCGCGAGGAATGAAGGTCAGGCTCCTTGTTAACTGCTGACTTCAGTTCTTAGCAACGGAAATGCGCTGTCATCTATCACGCCTCAACCTGCCTTAGACCTTAAACCTTCTAATGCTACATACAACCCCTTGAATGCAACAAATCCTCTGAACCACCTGGAATCCTGAACCCAACATCTGAATCCTGAATCCTCAAGGGCCCAATGCCCCTAAATAAATGACTCATCGATGCCCAGGGTTTTTACACTAAACCCTAAGCCCTAAACCCTAAACCCTAAGCCCTAAACCCTAAGCCCTAAACCCTAAACCCTAAACCACTTAAGGCGGGGCGACGAACCAGCAGCAGACAGGCGCCTCGCTGTTCCATGGAAGATGGGTTGGCTTCACAACATGGTTTAGGGTTTAGGGTTTAGGGTTATAGACCCCAAAATACTACAGTCCTTACTATAGGGACCCCCACAAAGGTACCCCTAATTTTGGGAAACTGCCATGTAGGGACAATGGAAAAGAACATGGAAACTACAGGAATTATAGGGATTACATTGGGTTTATCTGGGGATTATAGGGTATACATTGGGGTTATATAGTGACAATGGAAAAGAAATGGAAACTACTGTGTAGGTTATAGGGTTGAGGGTAAGCGGGGAAGAAGAGAAGTTGGTTAGTTACATACCTGTTGAATTTGATTTTGGGTAACTGTTTCCCATGTTCAGGGTATACATTAGTGGCCCATGATGTTGGGCAGCTTTTTCTCTGCCGGCGACGTAAGGCTTCAAAGGGTTCATAAACCCTGATGATTTGGAGCAATATCCCGAACCCTACTACATGTTCAGCTTGGTTCCCTTCCGGTGTTTTGCTGGAAGACTCCACAAGGGGCACGATTCAGGGCCTAACAGGTTTTTGTGTTTTCCGGAGTTCAGACGTAGTAGATGAAGGCCAAGGAAACTTTTTGAGTAACTTCTTTTATCCACGGGTCATGGCAGTCATGTACCGGATATGCTGGCGTTTGGGTGAGGATGTAGAGATTATGTAGAGATTATGTGGAGATATGGTTTTAGGGACATTGTTTCAATATTGAAAGATGGCACGGAAGAGAACATGCAAACTGGAATGGAAACCGGGGCTATATTGGAAGATTACCTACTGTTTTTGAGGTGTATTTGAAGTGCCCTATGCCCTATGCCATTCATCATTGTACCCTAAGCTATAAACGTCCTTGGGCACGGTGAGTCTTGGCATGGGGCTTTCTCAGAGTCAAAATCTGTTGTGCGCATGATCGACCCTTACAATCGCGAGTCTAGATGTTTAAGGGATGTCAGGGTTTAGGGTTTAAGGGGATTCATATAATTCTCGCGACATGCCCATAAGGAACCCCTTAAGCCCTAATCTTCCATAAACACATACATTTGCTGCTTCGCTTGGCGTTGAGCAGGTCAGCGCTTCCGAACTTGGATTCTGTGGTTGAAGCAGTTCTTTGTAACCCCCAAATGCGTGCACTTTGGTTGCCTTTGACCCTTAGTTGCTAAGAATGGTCCACTAACCTGAGGGAAAGTCACAGTTTTTTGCTTTGAGCTCAGGGCTCAAAAGAAGTGTCAAACGGACCCCCTCCCCAAAATCTGAAACCTTGAAACCCATTCACTCTCTTCAAGAATAACATGAATTCTTCTTGGCAGAGCCCCCCCTCAATCCTGCATGTGCAAAGCTAAAACCAAGCCAAGGAAGAAGGTGAGCGAAGTCGAGAGATTCAGAAGGCCAGTGTGCAACTGGACCTTGCCCAAGCCATGGAGGACATTGGGGAACTGCTTGCAGCTGTGTTTCTTTGAAGGGGCTTTTGAGTGTTGGGGTGCGCGCAACGAACCTTAAGACTTAGGATTGAGGGCGTCTACGCTCTAGAGGTTCTGAATTGTATAGGATCCTTTTTTCGGCGTCCGGTTCAAGTTGAAAGCCTCTTGCGGCACCATGTCTTTGAGTAAACAGTTGCTCACGGGTGCGTAGACCTCGTCAAGCTTGCTGGGCCATCCTACAGCAGGAGGCAGCGGGGTTCTAGGTGTAAGAGCCTAGTTGCCGAAATTGTGTTCTCAAGTGTTGTCACGTCGCCCGTGTGCAAAGTGCCACCATATGGCTTGATTCAGCAATCCGCGTGCTGTTGTAAAAACGAGCATAGGCCAACCATGTCCGAGATGGACCCTCGCAGCTGCGTTACGCCCTAGCCGGAACCCTGTACATCTCAATCCTAAGCCTGAGGCTCTGAAGGCTATGATGTTTGACGGTCTGTGTCTTGGCAGTCACAGGTTCAGACCTTTCCAACAAGTTAGGTCCGCTATTGCGTCATTGCCATAGTGTTGCTGAAGTGTTCCTGGCCATTCTCAGCAGGAGCGTGTAGTGTTTCCGAAGAGCCATCCTCAGTTGGAGCACTTCAGTTCTTTTGCAAAGGCCAAAGTACTCGCAACACCAAATCTAAGCCACCGAAGAACATGGGAATCATCATGTTATTGGGCTCAGGGGTCCTATGGGGATCCCTTCCGCCCTTCCCTACTCACAACCTGTGCGACCTTTAAAGCAGGACCATGATGTGGATGCTTTAGAGGCAGTGTTGCCTGTGGCCAGCAACCTCGGTCTACCTCCGGAGGAAGAATGGGCTGATGCGCCTTAAGGGTCCTGTTTTTAGGTAGGGAAAGGAGTCATATAGGGAAAAAGAGATGGAAAGGAGTACATTATTAGGGGCCTAGCATTAAGGGTGTAGGGTGAGGGTGACTTAGAAAGTTGTTATACTAATATCCCCTGCAATCCGTATCACAACCCAAGTCTTCACGATGGTCAACAAATACCCTTAATCCTATATAATCCTTATGCAGCCATGAAATTCTAATTTCCATCGGCTCCCCAAACCAACCTTAGTTCCCCCTCACCCCCCAGGCAAGGATCCTGGTTGTAGGTAGGACAGGGAGTTATGTAGAAATTTCCTACTCTTGAGAACACTGGAGAAAAGCTGCAAACAACTGCATAAGGAAGTGTTAAGAGCATTGAGGGCCTTGATTCTCTGGAAGGCAGTTCGGCATAATAAGGATTTCACATCATTTGATTTGAGCAGCGGATCACTCATAGTGTTGGGAGCCTGCCAGCTCGTGGGAGATGGGTTTGGGCTCAAGATTTGCGGGTAAAGAGGTGCAAGGTTAGCGTGTTTTGGCCTAGGTTTGGGGCTTGTGCAATGATATCCCGCGCGTGTGTGCTGAAGCGTGGCTTGTAGATGGAATCTCACACATGACATCGCCTTGATGATGTGAAGAGGCGCTTCTTTGGAAACTTCATAATACAATTACTTTGAACCCACTGTTGTCATATATGTTTCAGAGACCCGGATTCTGACAGATATATCTTATAGGTTTACGAAGACATTTTGCCGCAGATTCACCAGCCGTTGCTTGTCGCGGAGGAAATTGCTGCAGCCAAGCGCATCTTAAGCTGGGAGTTGAAGCAAACCATGCGCGAGGAGGTTGCCGCTAGGTTATCAGGGTTTGGAGCTTCAGGCTGTTCACAGATTTACCGAGGGTATCTGTACGCTTCCGGAATTCTTGATTGCTCATCGTCTGAGGCAACTACTTGAAAGAGGCTTCCGTCACAGCACTTTCTGAAGTGTGATAACAAGCATTTTATTAAATGGGAGTTGAACCTTGGGCAGTGCCCCCAATGCGGCTTCAGCCCCCAGTATGGGTCTTGTTGCTGCTAGGGCTTTTCCAAAGCAGAAGTGCCCCGTTTGTACCCCCTGGAACATGAAAAGAAGGATTCCCCAAAGGAGACATCTAGGTTTCCAAGCTCCAATTCTGGCAACCTGCTTGACGTTTTCATCGGCTGTAGATCATGGGGTGTACACAGCCTCACCTCAGCAGCATAGGGGAGTTTCCAATTGTAAAATGGGTTATAAGTGATCTAGTGACTCTAGTGCCTCAGGTGTCCAAAGATTAGGGGGTGCCTTTTCAGGGAGTTTCCAGTGATAAGGGTTAAAACATTCTGGGGTTTCTAAGGACGACCTTTAAAAAGTATGCCCCAGGTTGATATGGGCCATATCCTAATGTCCGAGTATCCCCCTCAATAACCTTTATCGTAGTTCCCTATATCATCCGTTGTATGACCAGCTGTAAGGAGTTTAGAATATGGTTGGTATCGATAAGAATGATGAGGGCTCGCCCTCTCCAGCTCTTGCTTCCGAGCGTTTCAGCTTTGCTGTATTCCAAGCCCACAACTTCAAAAGAGTTGGATAATTGGGGGGGTTCCCAAAATTTAGGGGTACCAATTTGGGGGTGCCAATGATAAGGACTATAAGGTTTTGGTGTCTATTTTGGGGTTCCCCATTTAGGGAAACTACCAATTAGTGTAATTGCTTGTATGGACCCTTACGCCAACCCTTCTTATAGACTATTACCGGCTGGCGGCCGAACTGAACCCACACCCCACAGATCAGTTCAGACGGTGAAAGCCTCAATCGTAGACGTTCCGAGTTTCGACCGTAGTTTGTCCGCTGTCTGGGTCTAGACGGTCATTTGCTTGGATATTGACGCCCGCTCAGCAGCAGTGGGCGAATCGTTGCGATATGAACTGGATACTTCCCCCTTACAGTAACCGTTACCACAATGGGTACTACGAGTCACGGTCGCCCCTGCATAGTCCCTGCAATCCCTTTAAGGTCAATTACCCTACGGGGGAAAGACACAAGATATGGATATCTAAGGCCCTTAATATTGGTCTGACAGACCGTCACCTAAACCCTAAACCCACAACCCTAAACCCTAAACCCAAATCCCATTGGGTGGGAGCAGTACCAAAGTTTTCATCAAATCATCTTTCTAAAGTGCCTTGAACGATTCCGAATCATGCCTAAACCTGCAAAACCTCAAAGATCCAACCCACTAGAGCCCCTACCAACCTCAAAAAATGTCCCAATAGCCAAACTATTATAGGGCTTAAGGCGGTGTCACAAATCATTCGTTGTCCAGTGTTCAGGTCAAATCCACAGTACGTTGAGTGCTTGGACATTTGCTTGGAGGGTCATGGGGACTTAGTACGTAGGGTGAATAAGAGGGATGAGTGGGGTTGTTATATGCCTAGCCGACATACGAATGCCCCCCTGATCTTGAATCAACCATAGACCCTCACATCATATAATTGTGTTTGTTTTCTTTTCCATTCCTCCAGGACTTACCCAGTTCCCTGGCCGTCCAACCATTAACCCTTACCCAAGTACGATCTCAGCTTTCATTTCGTTTTCCATTTTCTCTTCCGATTAATGTTCCATGATCCAAGTAAAACCTTATATATCATCTTTTGCCAGGCGCATAAACCTAGACAATCCCCCACCGGCCTTTTTGATCCCCTTCACTCTATACAATCCCCCAGCGACCAACATAATTTCCAAATAGACTTACATGCCCCACAGACCTACCCTAAAACTTAACCCTCAAACCTAGACCTTGGGTACTGCCCCCCCCTCACAGTTGGATAATATTTATAATATGGTTATATATAGCCCTTAATAGGACCCCTAGTATAGACTGTTAGGGTGGGGGCAGTACCCAACCTAAACCTTGGGTCTAATTGGTAGTTTCCCAAAATTAGGGGTACCCTTTTAGGGGTCCCTATAATAAGGACTATAGTATATTGGGACCTAATCATCTCAGGATGCCGTGCAGGCAACCATCTCACAGCTCTCCCAGTCGCTGGCTTGCCTCGAGGCCCTTGCAGCCAAGCCGCTGCAGCTGAAAAAGCTTTGGGGGACCTAGGGTTTAGGGCCAGTTTAGGGTCTATAGGGCTTAGGCTATAGGCTTTAGGGTCTAGGGTTTAGGGCTCGGGGAGATGTAGGGCTGTCGAAAAACCGTGTGGGGTGTGTAAGGATGGATTGGGCCACATAGGCTCGCGCTGACAGGATTTTGGTTGCCATGGACTTCTTCTTAGGCTTCCATGTTAGTCTGGAAAACGTTGTCGCCCTAATTTAGCAGAAATGATACGGATATATAGGTTATATGATAACAGATGAGGTTTACAGTGTACGGTTCGGAGTGATGCGTTGAAGTAGTAGTGGCTGGAGTAGTAGTAAGTATATACGCTGGGAAAGCCGTCAAGAGACGAATTCTATCTTGTCTGGGCAGTTTGCAGGTGCAGGCTCTGTATTGCTAGGTGTCGTGCTGTGCGAGTATCCGAGAAGAGTCCATGATCTTAAAAACCCACGTGTGTTGTTCGCCGTTTTTGATTTTCATTGCTTTTGGAGGTTCAGTCCTTTTTGTGATGGGTGTACTGCGCTTGGTGTGTAGTCTAAACTAAACCCTTCCATGGTTCGCCCTGGACGTCTGCAATGAGGCAGCCAAACACTGACCCTTCTGCCATCTTAAGCCGCTTGGGACAGGAGCTCGATGCTGGGCCCAGGTAAGGAAGCGTTTTCGTGCTTTCGTAGTAAAAACACTGGGCAGCGTTGGGAAATACTGAACCAGTCTAGGAACTTCATATCGGACGTTACTGCATGGGCTGGTAACTGCGAACATAAACAAAGTAGTGCAGTTTTTGTATGTCCACTCCGCAGAGACAACTCAGGAGAGAAGAGTCTTGCAGACCGTCGAAAGCAAGATTCACCAAGTTCTGGACCTCAAGGGGCTTCACCCTCATCCCCTAGTCAACCGTAGGGGTTCTTTTGCGCTCACCTTTCTTGGCAGACGTGTGTAGCAACTCAAGAACGCTTTAAGCGGCACACTTGCAATCCAAAATCTCCACAGGTTTGCTCATCAGAATTCACAACGGAACCCTTGAGGACAAGGCGTTGTCCAAAGCATCTCTGTCGGCATCGTTGCATCCGCTGGAAGCCTATAGCTTTGACGATTTCGATCTCAACGGACACACGGTTTTAGAGCAAGATCTCAGGGCCTTCTGGCCTTTGGTTAGCTGGGAATGAGGGACATAGGGACTACCATAAATATGTACCCTATAATCCCTATATACCCTATATAACCCCTACAATCCCTGTAGTTTCCATTTTCTTTTCCATTCCTTCATTCCCAGCTAACCAAGGCCAGTCTTGGAAGGTTTGAAGTATAACCCTCCTTCGGAGGCTCATAGTGGCTGGTAAGGCTTGCACTGTTTTGGTAGGCTCTGAACTGATGGTGCTTCTTTTGTCCAAAAAGTCAAGTGGTCACCATGCTGACAACTCAGGCGATGGAATTGTTACCAGGGATGAGTTCCAAAAGGCTCGCGCAGGACTCCTCGCCCGAAAAGAGCCATTGCAGCCAGCTGGCCAACAGATGCCGCAAGTCATCGAGGAAACCTGGGGCCTTCGTTGCGTTTTCGGATTAAGGGTATTTGGGTGTTTCCCAAAATTAGGGGTACCATTTTGGGGGTCCCCATGATACGGACTATAGTATTTTGGGGTCTTTATTGGGCTCCCCCCAATTTTGGGAAACTACCATATGTAAGGGTCAGAAAGGGATGATGACTCTGAGGGGACATGTCTTGCGTTGTTTTATTGCTGTCGTCTCTGCTCTATGCGGAGCCCTGTACCCTCGGTGAGACATGTACACGTAAGATGGCACCAGGTCCTTTCTTAAGGAATTCGGCCTTCCTTTACACCACAAAATCCTGAAACCCAATTTCTTACAATTCCTTGCAAAAACCACCCTGGAGGAACTGGGACCCCAGAAGAAGGTCGAGAGGGCTCCGAGGGAAGCGACTTCGGAGGCATCAGCTAGTATAGAGTGACGCCGTAGAACTATGTTGTGTCGTCGTTTCCATGTCGCTTTTCACCGTAGTTGAGTCATTGATCTGGCGTGGTGCGGATTTGGCAAAACTTTTCCTAAGAATACTAAATCTAGACTACTTGCGTCTCATGCTTGGTTGACCCGGGCGTTTCCTCAACTTCTGGCAGTAAGGTGATGAGATATCTTTATTCTCAAGCAGCTCGGCGGGTGCGGGTGTTGGCACGCGACCAAGACTATGAAGCCACGCGATTTGTTGTTGGGCACTTGCTGAGCAAGGGCTTGCAGAAACTGGTTCTGCATTTGGTTTCGGCTTTGTAGGGTTCAAGGTTGTTGTGCTGCTTCGTAGATGACTTCAAGAACACTGATCGTTCTTGCTGTTGCCCCAGTAGTGTGAGCCATGTTACTATGCTTATGCGGGGCCACCGGAAACAAAGCCATCGTTTTGTACATTGCCCCGTGAAACCCTGAATCCTGTGTAAGTTTGGCTTCCTGAGGGGGGGGGTTTTCAAGAGCAAGCTCCTGTGGAGGGGGTGTCAACGGTAAGCTCCCTTTTTGGGTTCCCCCATTGTAAGAATTATAGAATTATATAGGGTTCTCCAAATGGGAGTAGCAATTTGACAGCCTCTCACGTGGATCAGAAGAGCCTCAGGAGAGCACTTCTAGTTGGGTCGCCTGCAAATGATGCCTTGGCCGAGGCGAAGCAGGACAGCCTAGAAACAGTAAGAAACATTTTTAGTCTTTTAGTGCCCTACATCAACAGGGGGCTCGCACGCAAAGACTTATCGCAAGGGCTTGCAGTTTAGAGTTCAGGGGGCTCTTGGGGGTTTCGCAAGTCTCAAGTTCCATGAGCTGGGGGCTGGCAGGTGTTGAAGGTTTGGGGTTCTTCTGGGCTTAGTTGCGGGTGTAGTCGGGGATCGGAAGCTGTAGTTGTTGCTCAAAGGCTAGCTGGACTTTTCAAAGCCTATCCAGGAGTTCTGTTTCTGAATTCGGATGCAGTTCGGGCCCTCTCTCTGGTGTGCAGGGTCACGAAGAAATCCTCGAAGATTCTCAGAAAAGGTTATTATGTTCATTACCCAAAACAAGCCCAGAATACCTGAACCTCCATGTCTACTGGACGGTTCGTTGGAGGAGTCGTCAAACGGACATTCTCCTACACATGATGAGGCGTATTCTACCAGGGACCCAGAAAGGACCACAAGTTTGACAGCCTGCCATTGGGTCTTAAAAGTGGCGCTACCATCGGACGAAGTAAGGCAAAAAAAGTAGTCGGAGAATCAGTAGACCCACTTAACTCCTCATGAACCCTCATAAACTGGAAGGCCTCTAAACTCTAAACCAGAACTCGAAAGCGCAATCCCTGTATGCCCTGCATCCTGGAACCCTCGACCTTATGGGTGCAGTGGTTAGTAGGGAACGAAAGATGAGGAAATAGGGTCTATATGATCCGGCGGTATACAGCAAAAAAAAACTACCGGCATCCAATCCTCAATTGATTTCTAGCCTACAAGCCCTACGTGATATAGTAGTCTCCATCGAGTTTCCATGAACCATTAAACTGCCCAGGCCAATGCCATAAGGCCTACATCATAGAGTAGTTCTCTTTTGTTGTTTTTCCATCAGCCGACAGACTGCCCGAGCCCCAAGCCCAGAGCGGCTTCCATGTTCCAAACCCCTGAGCCCTAACCCTATGTCACCTCATTTTCCATGTTCTTTTCCATTCGATCTCCACTAAGTTGCAGGACATTGCAGCTATCAGCGCCTCAAAGCAGCGCATCGAGGAAGCCACGAAGCGAGCTGAGGAGCTTCAACTGTGATGGCAGATCATTGGTGTAGGTTCTAGGGGCAATAGGGTTCAGCGATTTGGGGGTGTAGCCGGTGTAGCGGTTAGTGGTTTATGGGCTTTAGGGGTTGAAGGTTGAGGGTTTCGGGGTTAAAGGCTTAAGTTAAACAGGATATGAGCAAAGTGTATAGGAGTTTCCGGAACAGGGGCGCTTTTTGTACTCCCAAATCTGATAGAGTCCGCATTCTGGGAATCCCACAAAGGGACCCGCCCCCCCACCCCCAATTATGGGGAAAGTCATATTTCCCATCAGCCAGCTGCAAGATCACCCTTTATTTGTCGGACCTGGAAGGGCTTTTTTGGATTGTGCTCCACCTCCCACAAGAATCAGGCTTGAGGCTGAGACAGGTTTCGGGTCTTTAGGGTTTTGCAGGGGGATTGGGTCACAAGGTTTACTTGGAGGGTCAGTGGGGCTTAGCAAGCAATTAAGGAGATAAGTGTGTTACACATAATAGAGTTGAAAAGTGTTTACTAGGTCCCGCTTGCCTTCCAAGTAGGGCCCAGTGTGAAGCTACGAGGAAGGGTGGTGGTCCAAGATGAATTGAGGTAAGTTCGCGACCTGTTCAAGCCTCTAGCCTTATGGCATCCCAACAAGAGCAGACACTCGAACCATTCAGGGTTGAAGAGTTTGATGACCAAAGTCCTAGACACCCTAACCAAGAACTCTTTCCCGGCCCTCTCCCTAGACCTGCGAGCTTGAGGTCCCCCTTTGCATGCACCCTAAACCAAGCCCCACCCCTTTCCCGCAAAAGCCATTAAACCTTGAGTCCTAAGGCCTAAGTCAAGAACCCTAAGACCTAGTCCTAACCCCACCTTGCGGAGGACCGTATGCATGCAGCCTCCACAAAAGTGCAGGCAGCTGCGCGCGGCCGCATGGTGCGACGGGAGAAAGAGCTGGTGCAGAGGCTTTGGCTATGCTGTGGCGTGGAGTAAAGGGGTTTTGGGGTTTAGGGGCTAGGGCTTCACACCAGAAGATTCAGCTGGAGTTTTTCAAAATGGGCCGTGAGGAAACTTTGGGACGTTGCGATCTACAAAGAGATTCTTTGGTGCTAAGGATCCGACGGTAATTGCCCTTTGCAACTTCCATCTAAATGGAAGTTGAAAAGGGCAATGAAATCAAGAGCTACGTGGTCTTCCCTTAACCACTATACATGAATCCCGCAGTTTCCATGTCATTTTCCATGTTTCCATGTTCTTTTGCCATTTGGTTCTTCATTATTGGGCCCCCTTGGTGTAGCAGTTATACTCGTTCCGCATTAGGACAAGGGTCCCTTCCCTTCCTATAGGAAAAGGGACAAAGTAAAGTACGGCACCTGATTTCGGAGTACACAAAAGATACCACAATTTGGAAAATACCCACAACTGTCGATTTCCCTCGCGCGCTCTCAATGCCAGCAAGCTTTTCACATTTTTTAAACTGTTGGGGAAAGCAGACCCCTCAAACGCCTGCTGCGTGCTTTGGGCGCATGATTTGGACAACTAAGGAAGAGCACCGTGATGCTGCAGCGAACCCTTCGCAGGCTCAAAGAGCAGAGGCGCACGGCTTAGGGTTTGGGGTTCAGCTGCAAGTGCCCCCTCAGCAAGATGACGTCCCTCAAACGGACACTGTTTGCTTCAAGGGTCATACCACTATGGGCTATTAGACCCTAAAATTCCCTATTAGGACCCTATTAAGGGTAGATTAAGGTACCCTTAAGGTCTAATAGCCCACAGTGGTCGGAACTAAGGCAGAAGGGCAAGAAACTGAACTTCGCTGTGGTGGTCGCTGCTGCTACGGGCCAGCGCAAAGAATCCGGACCAATTATGGGTCAGCCTTTGGGGCCCTCA